TGCCGTGTAAATGAGATGAAGGATGTGTTGTCGTGTAAATTAGATGAAGGATGTGTTGCCGTGTAAATGAGATTAAATATTTGTTGCCGTGTAAATGAGATTAAATATTTGTTGCCGTGTAAATGAGATTAAATATGTGCTGCCGTGTAAATGAGATGAAGGATGTGTTGTAGTGTAGCCTACATGAGATTAAGGATGTTTAGCTGTGTATGAGATATGAATGATAGTTTGCAGTGTACAGACAGTGAAGGACAGTGGAAGGTGGAGGAGGCTGGCCAGTATCACATCATACTGCAGTAACTGGTTCAATAGGATAAAGACATCGGTCAGTCTGTTAATGGGCTGGAGTGGGAGTGTTACTGACTGCTCTGACATGCCTCTATCACAACACAACAGCCTCACTTGACATTCTAATCTTCAATTGAAACCAAAAATATCTGACACTTCCAAATGAATTTAGATAATGCTTACACTTATAAGCTACCACCAATTTAATTGTTATTAAAATCCATATAGGCACCTTGTTAGAATATTTGTTTCAACTTATTGTCAAAATATAACCAATTTCAAAAACGTATCATGAATAGTTTTACCATCATTCATAAGGATGCAACAAAAACATGTATGGCTGCACTAAGCACACAATAACTAAATGGAAAATCTTAAAACAATGATCAATAGTTCAATCATATTTTAAAATCGGATGCCGGAGAGGGTAATACTCAAATTAAGCTTCTATTTAGTTTTGAAATTTCATCAGCCTAATAAGGTAGCTAATGCAAAAAATAAATTAAAAAAGACCTAGGCCTATCCCATTACAACAATTTGAAACTCTTTATTTTATTTCAACTTAAAAACCTTCAGTTGTTAAAGAAATAATGTTAATTTTCAATGCAGACTAATACTAGATGAAAATAACTTCAAAATAAACTAGAGAATCAGCAAAAAGTATAAATGATTGCATCAAAGCTGGGTGCAAAGGTCGAATGGTTGCTCAGTGGTTAACTTATTTGATATGTGTTTAAAAACAAAGATACGCCTATGTCTTCAATTCATGTTGGTTTTTCAGTACAAGTGCTCTATTAACCAAAAAGTATTTAATTTAATCATGATCCAAAGTACGGTACTAAACGTAATAAGTTCAACCAAAATTGTTACAGCCAGATAAAAACTTAGGCCTATTTAACTTAAATCCTATAAGTAATTTTTTTATATCCCCATTAAAGGATTGAATTTTTGTTTAAACTATTAACTTTTTCTACATAAAAATATGGTATGACTAGTTTTGAAGCTGCTTTTTTCCGCCGCAATTTTCAAACACCAAAGCTCACGGAAGTTACCTCCGGGAGTCCAAAAACTATGCAATGATGAGTAAAAAACATTTTAATAGCAATAAAACTGTAAGAAAAAAATTTTTTATGAGTTAATACACTATTACCCACTTAAGTTGAATATAAAATAGAAAATGTTATAAAAACAAATAAAAATAGGCCTAACCTACGTAAGTGTTGTGGATGAAAAAGATTTACTTTTATTTGTACTTACAGCACTATCGTATACCCTATTAGAAATCAAATTTGAATATTATATGACATAAAAAGACGTAGGGCCTACATGGTCTAATAAAAATAATAATTTTGTACAAGGATAACTCATTCAATCAAAGCTCTTAGACAAAAATTGCATCAGTGTATGACATAAAAACATCTATGGTATTATGAAAAAAGATAATAATTTCATAAGGACAGCTTACTTTGTCAAAGCTCTTTAAAAAAAATTTTCAATGGTGTTTGAAATAAGCCTAAAACACCTATTGTCTGATGCAAAAACCATTTGTTAGAAAGACCACACATTTTGTCAAAGCTCTTTTTCTTGAAAAAAAAAGGTTTCCGAACTCACGCACTATTTAGTTCTTTCTTCTAAATGTTGTTCCTTGTTCTCCCTTTTAACACTAACCAACAATCTCGCAATTAGTTCTTCTTCATCCATTTTATAATATCGCTAAATAAGGTCAAACACAAGGGCGCACACGGAACTAGGCTCCGGGAAACCCGTTGCATCACAGGGCGCTCACGGAAGCTACTTCCAGTAGTTACGCGAACCACTCCCCAAGGTCGACTGACAACTGGGAAAGGGGTAAGAGTAGTCAAAACCAATTCCGCAAAAGAGGTTCGTGAGGTAAATGAGGCCACAGCCCTGCCGAACACATACTATGGTTTTTATAACGAAAACAGTAGTGACCCGGAGGTAACTTCCGGGTTGCGCCCGATGGAAGGTAAAGATGAATAGGTAGCCGTGTGTTATGTGTCCATAAAACAATAACTCGATAAGATTATACAATTTTGATGAAATTTGGTTAAAATAGCCCATACATATGTAGGTTTAAAACTCAAATGAGTTTATGAACCAGAATTATCAAACTCTGATTTAAGGGGGGAATTATGGGTAAAAATTTTTTTCCAATTTTGGAGTCTAAAAAACATAGCCTAAAGCCCTTTTAAAGAGCTTAAAAACAAATATCGTGTTACAGTACGGTACCTATTTGATGAGCTACTGATAAAAAAAGATACATTACCCTAAAGATTTCTGGCAGCCAAATAAAAAGAACCTGCTGTAGTGTACAGGTTGTGACCGCAGGGGGTGTACTAATAAAATAAGATTAAACGCACATTGAAAAACAATATCTAGGCCTAATTATTTTAAGCTCCTTAAATGCTCAAGTTACCTAATTTCTACAAAAGTAAAAATAAGACTGTAAACTATGCTAATACCTATCTAAAGCCTTTTTGAACTGTATTTCTTGAGTGGTTACCTACGATTTAAGTTAGTGCCCTGGTGGTAAAATAGGTACCGGTACTTATATTTCACATAGCATGCACATCATTTAGAGAAAAATAAGGTTGTGTTTTATTTTGTCTACAAAACTGCTATTAAAAAAAAAACGATGGAAAATAAGCCTAGGCCCTATTACAAAACTAACTAGGTAGCCTACTGCTAGAAGTCTAGGCAACAAAGATCATTACCAAATATAGAGGAAAAATGCATGTATAAGTAAATATGGTACAGTTGTAGGGGTAAGTTAGTCCTTTAAAAACCATAAGTTACTAAAAGCCTACTGATTGGTGGGGGTGAAGCTAAGGGCGCTCTACATGTAGCCTATGCCTACCTTTTTTAAACTTAGGTTTTTCGTAAATAACTTAAAAACCATGGGCTTCAGCAAAACGTTTGTCATATGTTCAAATAATTCGAAGGTAAAATGATCTAGGCTACAAGAGAGGTCCTAGGCATTTGTTTGCTAGGATTATTAACTTACTTAATAAAGATATGGAGGGGAGAACATGGAAATCAGTACCGGTACCGCAATTGTAGACTCAAGTAATTGTTCAGCAAGCGGTCGAGGTGGACACTACATAGGCTCGCGGAAGTGCTGTGTGACTTTTACCAATTTTTAACATGGAGAGCGATTTAAAATGTCTTATAGCCCTAGATGCTGGCACTCACGGATAGGCCTGGGGAGCGAGCTGGCGTAGTGGTTAGAGCGCGGGACTTTAGTCCCTGAGGTCCCGGGTTAGATCCTTGCCAAGTCACCAATGGATTTTATCTTGGGCCATGTGATAATGCCGCAACCCCTAGGTCTAGCCTGAAGTAATTTGAAAAACTATCCCAGGCTCGTGCCTCTTGGACAAAAAAAACAACAAAAAAACTCACTGATAGGCCTATGGTCTCTTTCACCATGCGAAATTTGAAAATAATTGTTTCAGTGGTCCAGAAGGAGTTTGCATCGAGGAAATGCATAAGAGTCCACATATTCGAAAGCTTCGCTCAATAATTTAAAAGTTTGCAACATTTTTAATACAGATGTAGTTCTACAAACTATTCATAAATGGCGGAGAGGAGACCTAATTTATGGCTCCGCCACAATTCTTTTCACGGGTGACCTGTTTGGCCCAACCACGATAGGTTTAGGCCTACCAGAGACAAGTGTTGAAAATATTATGCGTTTAAGTTAAATAGCCTAACTTAGACAGTTTGAAATGTTTAAACTTAAAGGATTGATACAACTAACTGTCCTAGGCCTAGATTAACCCTCCCAGTGTTACTTGACGAAAATTCGACAAGCAGCACACTTTGTGTAGTGTTACTTGTCGATTTTTCGACACGCAGACATCGTTTACGGCGAAGGCTCTATGACTGACTGAATCGGATTGAACTGGATTGAGTTTGGTATCGTTCTTTCCGTAATATTCTAAGCTTTCTCCAGAGGTCTGTCTCTAAGCGCTATTCATTTTAGTTCCGAAAATATTGTAGCAGACAGCTGACGTGCGTGTATTTGTAAACAGTTAGGTTCCCCCGGACCGATGACTGATGTGTTTTATTACGTTTATCATTGTTTTAGTGTTAAAAATCAAAAGTAGTGATATACGTGGTGCATTATAAGAAGATTTAAGTGGTTTTGAAGTGCTGGTTGATGATCCTGAAGAAGTAGGTAGTGATATTGATGTAAATTATCAGCCAAATTCCTAGCTATGGTTAGGCTATGCATTCTTAGCTAAACGCTATGTACTGAAATCAGTTTTTTGCCCATAACTTATTTATTTGCAAATCTACTTCCTTATATTATTATATATTTGTAATCCTCATAAAATTTAGAACAAAGTGGCTATTTTCAAATATTTATAGGCCTATAATTTATACAATTTCATTGAGCGCAAACTTATTTTTTTTTGAAAATTTTCAAAATTATATTTTTTTTACCTAAAAATTTTTTTTTTTGAAAAAATGTTCCTTATGTTTTATATATAATATTGAAGCCCATGATTTTCCAAACAAAATGGTATATAGAACATTAGAATTAACATTGTTTTAAGCTTCTCAGATCCGTTTTAATAAAACCTTGCAAATGCGCCAAAAATAGGTGGACATTAAGGCCTAAACTATGGACACTTGGAGGGTTAAGTTAACAATAGTCTAAGCCTAAATATGAAATTTTACAATCTTACCTGTAGTACCGAAAAGCTGGTTGACCAAATCCCAGTAGAAACCTTCTTGCATTGATTTATCATGTCCATGTTGCTGACACAAACTTATCCAAAGCTGGGACCTTATTGTACTATTGGTAGGCCAGCAATTATCTCTTAAAATTTGTTTCACTTCCCTTTTCTTCCCTGACTGTAGAAGGCTTTGTATTTCATTAAATGTTTTCAGAGGTGGCTTCTTACCCACAGGACTATCAGGGAGGTTAGGGATACTACTTGTGTCAACATGAGGAGGGAACACCTCGTAGATGTCAGACTCTTCTTCCAGCACTGATAGCATTTTGAAGGCAATTATTTTTTTCGAGTGGTGAACATTTTCACAGATTTAGATTAACCAAAGTATAACAATCTTATTCTACGTCTGATCTTGAAGCATAAGTTGCATCTTGTTGAATTCACGGCTGCAATGGGTTCAACAACTAACCAGACCTATTCTTTTATAATGAAAAGTAAATTAAAATTAATCTTGCGATAACTTAACAAAATAATTTATCAAGTGCTTTTTTATATCGGTCATAACGCAGTAGGCCTAACTGCTATGCTGAAATTGTTCTGAAGGTTAGCCAAATAGTGAATGGGCCGCTTGTCCTTTTTTGAATCCCAGAGTCTTTCAAATGAGTATTCGAATTGTAATGAAGGTTTACAAATTAGAAAACAAAAAACTAAACGATTTTACTGATCTTAGCACACAGATTTTCTGACACTCGACACACTCCGACACGAAACGATTACAAGAACGAAGCACAGGCTACTCAACTTCAACTACTCAAGTCAACTGAACTCCAACTCCAACTCCAATGCAGAAGCAGAAGAAGACAGCAATCGAGCTCAAGACGACAAAAGTATTCATACAGAAGTACCAATACACAGAAAATAAATCATTTACTTTAAAAAAAAAACATGTATACATATAAAATTTGAAACCTACAGAACAAACACTTTTTTGACAGTGTTATCAAGGATAAAACATCTATCTATGTATATTATAGTGTATAAGGTAGTTTTTTGTCAGTATACCATAACTTCCTTAATTTTCACAAATTTCCACAAATGAGGTGACATTTACCCAATGAGCGTTTTTTTTTACCCAATACACCGGAAAAATAGACAAATCACTCATTTTTCAGTATTATTTCGTACAGAATATCTTCATACTCTTATCTTTTCTAATGACTCGTGTTGTGCTGAATTTGTTACCGACAGGAAAAAGGTTATACTGTATATATAGTTTTGATTTGGTTCTTTTTCCAAGGGACGTAGAACGCTCTGTTATGTCCATTTGGTGTTTGAACTCATTACAAACCCTTATGATTCGTCCCTCCATAAACCCATGATAAAAATAACTACTGTATTGTCATGTTGATGAGAAAAGAAAACTAGCAGGGTCCAGGATTGGTTGGGTTGTAGCTCACTTGAGGAACTACTATCAAAGAGATTTTGACTGACTCCGGTCAAACTACACAACGCAAACTACGCAAAAAACTAAACTAACAAATAGAGTTACTGTTAAACAGTTACTGTTGAGTTAGAGTTATTGAGTAAACTACGCAATAGTCTGTAATCCATTCAAACTGACTATAAGAAGGAATTTGATGTGATGCTCCCTGGTGTGGACTAGTGAGTACTTACAACTATCCGCAGTACTATCCTGATAATTAGACCAATTCGTAAATTACGAGGAAAAATGTGGTTCGGATTCCACTATAAACTGTAGGTCCCTTAGTTGCCATTAGCTGTATGGGCTATTAATTAACAGCTGTGTCTAAGGAACATGTCGATCTTAGTCACTAACAAGACTACAAGATCGCGCCACTCATCCTTCACTCATATTTGGGTTAAAATACGCACATAGTAGCGTCCCCATCTTAAATAATTGATTGATAATTGATAATTTCCCGTTAATCTTCCTTTGTAATGACTTTAAATAAAAAGGTATATGGACGGACGCTATAACTGAGGGAAGATTGTACATGCCAGATCCCGTTTTAGCGAATTTCTCATATAGGGAATAAGCTATTACCGTAGTACTCGTGGTAAGACCTGTATCTGGACCCAGGACTGATTTAATTTTTCGTTTTGAGGTCCCTAGAGGCCAAAAACACCATCCGTTCAAATTCATAAACGTGTAAACCTACGTTTATACGTAGGTTTAATTATATATTATTTATTTATTGTAGAAATTTTGAGAGTTTTGTAGAAGCATGATGTTGATTGTTATTGAATTTGCCTTGTGATTATTATGACGATTCCAAATGCATGTATTTGTCTAAAGGAAAAATAAATATTCTTATTCTTATTCTTATTCTTAATCGGACCATGGGAATGGGGGTTTATGGGGGGGGGGGGGTTTATTAGGTAAAAATTGGGGTTTACCTACCTTTTTTGACCCTAAAAACAAAAGATTATGGAATTTCTTTTTAAACCATTTTGTAGAGCTTTAAAAAGAAACAATTATTTAAGCGCTGTTATGTATGCCTAACGGTCACGGAGAAAATTCAAAAATAGTGTAATTATAAATTCCCCATGTTATTCTTAGGGAGAAAATGAAAACTGTTGTAGTGTACTTGTTTATGGATATATATTGATAAAATTTGGCAAATTTATTTATTTCATCCTATATAGTATAGACGTATGGCCAAAAACACTTTTTACCTTCCCCGTAGCAGCAAACCTAAGCACTCGTTAATTATAATGTTATTTAAATTGGGAATACATATCTTTATTTATGGAAATATTTTAGTAAAAATGTAATCGGACAAGTTGAAATTCGCTCAGCCTGCAGGTTTGCTGTGGCGGGGGTATTTTACACATTCAGTTGTTTGTGGCTGTTGTCAGTAAAAACTAATTATGTGTAAAAACAAAGCCATAAACACAAAAATCGTATATGGGAATGATGATGGCAATGAATTTGTCAATAATTAAATCTATCCACTAGTGTGACGTCATGGATTCCTGCAGCATGGCCTGTTTTTTGTTCGAGTGGGGCCTTGAGCCTACACACATAAATAAAACTTACAAACCCATCACTCCGGCTAGTTTTGTGGTGGCATTTTGTCGCATCTGATCGAAACAGATAAGTGGCGGGTCCGGTTGTCGTGGAGGCACCCTGATGACGACCCGAAATGTAAATTACCATAGGAAATGTAATAAATGGACTTTTATTTCATGGTACTAACAATGACATTGTAAAATCTCTGCTTAACATTAAACAATACATAACAAATATCCACGAGAAAGATTTTACATTTTATCATACCCTTGGTACCAACTAAAGGTATGGGAAAATATCAACCCACCTTCTAAGCCTACCATTCTGGATTACAACGTCTCCTGCGGATTGGAAGCGAGGCTGCATCGCACAATGATTTTTTTAATGAATCAACTTCATCTTTCAAACGCAAGATTATGGTTAAATATTCTTTTTTCCAGCATTAAACAAAAATGTTAAATTACAAATCTCTCAGGTATCCTCTTAACTCATTATTTATTTATCGTCGCTCTCAGCTCTGTATTATACGTTCATTGCATGTACCGTTTCCTCTTTGTTCTTACTTGTCTCCATGGTTATTCACTTCAAATATTTATCATTGTTTTTAATATTATTTATTGTTCTCACAAAAATATTTATGTATCTGTTTATTGTTATTTCGTTGTTATTTATATTGTTCATTATTATTTCATTGTTATTTGCATTGTTTATTGTTCTCACTAAAATATTTATCATGTTTATTGTTATTTCATTGTTATTTATATTATTTATTGTTTTCTAGGTTAGTCCATGTGCCATTTTATTGTATACATATCTTCGTTATTCATTCAACTATGTATTTGCTCATCGTTACTCAGTTCTTTCTTTGTCCAAGTTTTTCACATGTATACTTTACTCTTATTATTGTTACATTTGACACTCCTTTTATTGTTATTATTATGGATTATCTAGTCATAATGAGCAATTTACAACTCAATCAAACTGTAAAATTTGTGTAAATCCGTTGGCAAATAAATAAACTTTAAGCTGGGGAGTACTAGCCGACCCCTTAGATTAGAAGCATTCACACTGAATCCTTCTCAAATCCCACTCCCACTTATTGAAGTACACAACATACAGTTGAGTTAATACTGCGTAATTGTATCGTTAATTTAAGTAAGGGTCCTTAATATGAAGTTAAGGAAGGCTTCCTTACTTCATCCAGGAATAGACATGGGTTTACATTTTAGATCATTAACATTTCAAATTAGAGCCTATCTATAGTGTTAAGTTATTTACGATTTTACGTGTTTTACAGGTACTCTTTGAACGCTGTTTGAAGTAATAATATGGCCATTATTTATGGCCAATATGGCCATGGTTTAAAAATAAACAAGCTGGCTGTTTGTAAGATTTTAATGGTAAGAGTTTAGTACCATCCACCACTGTGACGTAGTGTTGCGCTAACCGTGATGCAGCGCTGCAGCATGGCCAGGCTACGTACCCACCTTCTTTAGGCGCCACCCTGACAATAACCACCATGACAACCTTGTATGTAATTCAACTGGAGATTGTGGAAAGTGTTTCATAATTATAATCATAATACTAATTTAATTAACAATTAGAAATGGTCATTTTCCCCAATAATGACTTGGAGTATCTTAAATCAAATTAACTGAGGTTGTTTGTATGCTGGTTGCTGGTTTAAATTTAAATTGAATTTAAATTGAATGCTCCTTTATGCTTCTTAGTATGATGGAATCGACTTCGACTATCAAATTTTCGCCCAATTGTCAACAGCAAGAGTACTGTAGTTCATTCCTCAGTTTTACAACTAAATCCCTAGGCTTAATGTTAAAATAGTCCTAAAATACTAAGGGGAAACCATTTTACGACATTAGTGCTCAACTTCATTAACATGAATCAACCATAAACAAGAATATCTAAAATTTTTCCATAAGATGAGAGCGAGAGGTCTCATGTATGGTATCGCCATTATATATCTATGGGTATCGCACATCACATTAAAATCCACTATTTTGTATTCTGTATCTTTGACTTTGACTTTGGTCTGTGTATTGGCACTTCTGCAATCTGCTGTCAACCTCAACCAAAAACCAACTGGTCAACCAACAGAAAAAGATTCACAAGTGTGCAAGCAAGAAGCAAGTGAAATCTTTTTATCCAATCCAAATGAACTAGCTAGTTGAGCCTTGACATATTAACTTTATGATGATGTGAATACGAATCAAGTAATTATTGTTCCTTAAAACCTTATGCAGTACCTCAGCCACCTTAGAAATATGTGCAATAAATAACCAATCGTGGATTTTGTGCCAGTGAACTTGAAAACCTTTTCTCCATCAGTCAGTGGCCAGTGCTGCTTTCATTCAATCATTCTGTGTTTCAACTTACAATCTTCACAAGAGATTTGGAATCTTCATGTGTTAAAAATTGTTAATGATTTGTTGGTAACAATATAACCACTGTTAGTGAATTATCTAGCCTAGGCCTACGTCGGTTCCATGTGCAAGAGGTGAGTGCTCTTTTACTATGAATCAATTTTCCTGTTGGATTCTTGCCAATTGCCTTGACACTAAGGTAGGCTATATCATGATAGCCTAAAGTTAATTAGGAAAGCCTACCTATAAGTTAACTCAAACTCACTTATTCAGCTAGACAACAATAGGCTATACATGCTTTAGCCAAGTCAAATTTAGCCTAGGCCTACTTAAATTAACACTTAGGCCTACATACATAACTTAGGTAAGTAGCTATTAGGCCTACAGTAGTTGGCACGGTAAGACCTAGGCCCGGGACCGATTTACTTCTTCATTTTGATGTCCCCAGAGGCCAAAAACACCATTCGTTCAAATTTTTAGGCTATATATTTAAATACTAGCTGTACCCGCGGGCTCTGCCCCGTTTAACTTCATAAGCATTCGCATGGCTCAATCACGTCCTGGTTGAAGTTCGTTCGCTATGCTCACTCACCTTTTGGTTGCAAATTAGCGGTTGTCATAAATTAGAAAAAGTAGGCCTAACTTAATAGTGCTGCACCCTCTTGGTAATCCTTGTAACTTTAATGCTATTTAACATCATAGAACAGAACCAACTTGTTTAATTGAAACAGCTGTTAAGATTCATTAAATTCCTTTTAAATATGAAAAATCGTAAGGTTACCATGGGAAACTTCAGAGCCACTGGGGCGGAGCCCGAAAGCCCGATCAGAATAAAAACTGCTTAGTTTTCCTATTTAATGCCCAAAGAATCGATGTACCGAATTTCAGCCTCCTAGGTAAATGGGAAGTGGGAGAATTAGTGATGAGTGAGTCAGTCAGTCAGTGAGGGCTTTGCCTTTTATTATTTAGATATAGGCCTATATAGGTATAGGCCTAACGTCTGTGAACGCAATAACTTTAGTAATTTTTGTCTGATTTTGATGACATTTGGTTTAAAGGTGTAAGGTGGGATAAACTTGAATGAGTTTGCGAACCAGCATGATCAGACCATGGGAACGGGGTTTTAACCCATTGGGGAAGGAATTAATCCGCTACCTGCAGCACCCTCTGGCGGCAATTAATTTTACCGAATTTGTAGACTTTTACTCTAACTGCTATAGAAAGAAAACCTTAGGTAATAAATTAATAATAATTCTTTCGCCATTTTGTTCACAGTAAAATTGTCTACAGAAAAGTGTTAATTGGATAGTCAAAGTTCTAAACTAAAAAAATATATATATATAAAGATTATAAAAATAAAAATTTTCAGAACAATATTTTGAAAGTAAACTTAGGAGCTGTTATTATTGTAAACAGTTATCTTGGTAACAAACTTCACTTGAAGAAAATTAATTAATCCAAGATTAATCCAGACACCAAATAACACTACTGTTATAAAGGTCGATCGATTCCCTACATAGAAAAATCAAAAGTTGTACGTACTTTTATAAGTAACTAGCTGTAACCCGCGGACTTTGCCCCGTTTAACTTCTTAATTTTCAAGATTATCTCGTTCGCATGGCTCAATCACGTCCTGGTTGAAGTTTGTTCGCTACGCTCAGTCACCTTTAGGTTGGAGCTCGTTCGCTACGCTCACTCACCTTTAGGTTGGAGCTCGTTCGCTGCGCTCACTTGCCTTCAGGTTAGCTCATTCGCTACGCTAACTCGCCTCCAGGTTGAAGTTCGTTCGCTACGCTCACTCACCTTTTGGTTGCAAATTAGCTGTTGTCATAAATGTAAATGAAATAATAGTGCTGCACCCTGTTGATAATCCTTGTAACTTTAATGCTATTGAACATCATAGAACAGAACCAACTTGTTTAATTGAAACAGCTGTTAAGATTCAATAATTCCATTTCTCATAAGGTTAACATGGGAAACTCCAGAGCCACTGGGGCGGAGCCCGAAAGGATTTTTGAAATAAGAATATGCCTATATGTTAATCGGGAATGTGAGCTATCATCATGCCAAATTTCAGCCCAATCCGACCAGTATTTTTCGAGTTTACTTTTCCCATACACACATACAGCAACCACCTCTTTTAGCGAATTTCCCATATAGGGAATATTAGCGAATTTCCCATATAGGGAATAAGCTATTACCGTAGTACTCATGGTAAGACCTGGACGCGGGACCGATTTTTTTTTTCGTTTTGAGGTCCCTAGAGGCCAAAAACACCATCCGTTCAAATTCATATATATATATATATATATATATTTATATATTTATATATATATATATATATATATATATATGTGTCCGTCAGCACGATAACTCGAGCAAAAATGATCCGATTTTGATGAAATTTGGTACAAACGTGTAAACCTACGTCTATTCGAACGAGTTCGCGATCCAGCATGATCGGACCATGGGAACGGGTGTTTACGGGGGGTTTTATGGGGTAAAAATAGGTTTTTCCCAATTTTGACCCAAAAAACATAAAATTTAGCAATTAATTTCCAAACCATTTTGTAGAGCTTCAAAAAACAAATAATTTAGTATATTGAAGCGTTATTATGCGCCTAATGGTTACGGAGAAAATTCCAAAAGATTGTAAATTTAAAATTCCCATGTTATTCTTATGGAGAATGAGTAAACTGTTGTAGTTTGCTTGTTTACGAACATATTTTGATCAAATTTGGAAAATGTTTTTATTTCTTACTAACTATTAACATTTTACAAAAAAAAACAGTTTTACCCTCCCTGATGCAGCAAACCTAAGTACTTGTTAAACTAATTCTATTTAAATCGGGAATAAATGTTATATTTTTAAGTAGACATTTCAGTGTAAATCCAATCAGTCAAATGGAAATTCGCTTAGTCTGCAGGTTTGCTGCGGCGGGGGTATTTTTATAATAGTATAGATAGATAGATAGATAGATAACATTTTTAAAAAATTGTTTGTTTACCTTACCGCAGCTGATTTTTGGTGATATGTGGTTTCCATGGCAACACAAAATTGTTTGTTATTCGCTAAAATAAATGAGTAAATACGCAAATCAAGAAGCAAGATATTTATAAACATTATAATAGTAAGAAGAAACAAAAAGGGCGAAAAATAATAATAACTAAATAAAAAATGGCGCTGCCTAGCGTTGACACGAGCGGCTCTCGTAAGTTGGCCTGCAGCGGCCGTACGAGTAACGCTCGTAAGTCGGCGCCAATGGGTTAACTTATGGGGTAAAAAATGGTTTTTTCTCATGTTTGACCCTCAAAACCCAAAATTTCCCAATTTTTCTCTAGACCGTAAAGAGCTTAAAAAACAAATAATTTTACCTATAACAAAGTGTTTTTGTACAGTTATTGGTAACGGAGAAAATTTAAAAAAATGTAAATTAAAAATTTCCATGTTATTCTTATGGAGAATATTGTTTAAAATGTTGTAGTTTGCTTGTTTATAGATATATTTTGATAAAACTTGGCAAATTTAAGTTATTTATTGTATACTTTTAAAGCTATTAATATTTTACTAAAAACCCCACTTTCACAGTTTCCTTGTAGCAGCAAACCTAGGTAGGGCTTACTCGTTAAACCTAATGTTATTTAAATAGATTTAATTGAAAATAAATTCCGACAAATGGAAATTTGCTTAGTCGGCAGGTTTGCTGTGGCGGGGGTATTTCGTTTATAGTTCATGTTGGTGACACTGGGTACTAGTGTTGATGACATTTTGTTTCTATTATTCTAGGGTTAGGCCTACCTACTTATTTTAAGAAGGCCTAATGAATGATTTGTGCGTTAGGGCCTAACTTACTAGGCCTATTTGATAAGTTGGTTCACTAGGGAACAGGTTATTGTTTATGATTACCTACATATAATTTATTTAAACAAGGGTTTTTAAAGAATAACTGAAATGGCCTATCAAGAAACAAATTGTAAACAAAAACACAATCCTAGCGGCACTGGACCTAACTAAAAATAAAATTGTCTTCAGTTGATCCATAAGAAGGATGACAAATCTACTGAGAGGGTACCGGTAGCCTATGTTTTATCTATGGCTGTATTTATCAGTGCAGGCCTAGTAAGTGGTCATCAGATTGTAGTAAGGATTGTGGATATTTATAGGTATGCACTGTGGATGGGATACTCCCTGGTGTGGATTAACGTCCGCATTAGTGAGTATTACGACTATCCGCAGTACTATCGTGATAATTAGACCAATTCGTATATACCAAGGAAAAAATGTGGTTCGGATTCCACTATAAACTGTAGGTCTCTTAGTTGCCATTAGCTGTTTGGGCTATTAATTAACAGCCGTGTCTAAGGAATGTCGGCCTTAGTCACTAACAAGACTACAAGATCGCGCCACTCATCCTACACTCATCTCCATTCATACTTGGCTTAAAATACCTACATTGTATGGTCGCCATTTCATAAGAAAGTAAAGTATTAAACTATTAATGCATCTTGATGTGGATCACAGCAAATAGCGGTTGTTCATTAGTTTTCTGTAGATTATCAGGTTTTAAGTACCTAGCTAGATTATTCCTATGATTTTTATTTCATTTTAGGAATCGACTGCCATTAAGTCAGAAAAAGACTGTTTTAAAAATACTGACAACATCTCAAAGCTAAAAGATAAAAGAAAATGGCAGCAACTACAAAAAGACTCTGGAAAGTTCGTAAGTACCTTTAAGCTAGATAATTTTCTTTTGTCTCACCTCTCACAGTAGTCTACAGTAGCAAACACAGCAATAATTAGCTACAGCTGTCATGTTTATTAGCTGCTGTAGGCTTCCAAGGATAGCTTTAGCTGCTGAATGTTAGTGGCCAGCAAATCAGTGTTTTCTCACTGAGGCTTAAGGTATAAAATAGGGTTTGTTGTGATATAATATTTATCTTATCAATGGCCTTATTATTTGTTGAAAACCCATAGAGAGTTCTGTTATTGTGAACTTTAGAGTTTTACGGACATCGACATAGACTTTTTCGACAAGTTCGGCAGTCACAATGCTGGGTCTTCCACTTCGCTCTTCGTCGTGAACGTTAGTTCAGCTATTTTTAAATTTGATGACCCACTGACGAACTCTACCCTCAGTAATAATGTTTGCCCCATAAACTTCACAAAGTTGCCTATTGATTTCTCTCGGTTTACAGTTTTTTGCAGTCAAAAAACTTATAACCATACACACTTTACAGTTCGTGGCATTTTCAATTAACACAGACATTTTAAACTGTCACAGTAACTCGACAGATTACAGCAGAAACCTCTTACTAGCATGGCTAGATGCAGACGGAGCTGCATAATGAACTAACACCAAAATGGTCGCGCTAGCCCCGCCCCTAGCGGATACAGACAAAAACTTAATTTACTTTCTGGTTAGCCCTCGTATTATCAATGCTCAATGGCATTCATGATTGTCCTTTTCTTTTGTAGGCCTACTGTATTTTGTACTGGTAATTTGCTACTGTAGGCTACTGTAAATGATTTGTTACAAGCATATGTTAATTTGCTTACATTTTTGTAAAACTGCCATAGCTACTCGAAAGTCCATTTAAGAATTAAACTTTAATTTTAGGTTTTTGACAAAAAAGTTCCCAGAACAGTGCCTAGCATGGATATTTTTTTAGCCTAAAACTAAGATATTTAAAACAGTTTGGAGAAAACTATAGGAGCCATTTTTGAGATTCTACAGGAGCCCAAGTTTGTACAGATTCTATTGTATTGTCAGTGTTGTTTATTAATCACTTTTGTTTGTTTTAGAGGAGTTCCGGGCGCACAGTGCCAATGTGAACTGTCTAGCCTTGGGTCACAAGTCTGGCCGAGTGCTTGTCACTGGTGGAGATGACAAGAAGGTCAACTTGTGGGCAATCGGAAAGAGCAATTGCATCATGGTCAGTCAATAATAAATTTAAATTTAGTGTCACATACATAATATTAAGATTGGCATCACCATTGAACTTTTCAGCACACGAGGAGGTTTGGAAAAAAACTGGATACTGTCCTGAAAAATTGAATGGCACCATTGAACTGAATACTTATTCAATTTACATTCTTCTTGACAGATTAATTTTTTGTGGGTAGAAGACCACTTTTTGTTCATATTGAAGGTTATACAAATGGGTCAAGTCTGGTTGTCAATGTCAAAATTTGAGGCATGGAGATCTTATTTACATAATTCAACTTTTAGATTGCATATAAAAAATTCATTCAAACCACGATGTTTTACATTAATCTTATTTAACTGATTAGTATTTTTTCCTAAAGAAGCTCTTGTGTTTTTCAACGTTTTGTGTGACCATTTTAGAGAATATTGTAAAATATTTTGTATACGATTCTGATTGTAGCCTACTCATTGATCATCATTGAAACCTGAAACCCAATTAGAAAGTCTTAGATGTCATATCATTATCATCATCATATCTGTTTAAAAAAATTTAAATTTGTCTTTAATTTCAGATTTTTCAGTTACAGTGCTTGATTTGTAAAAATTGAGGTGTTAGTACAACCCTTCCTCTCTCCACATCCCTCGTCCTTCTATCTTCATACCTTCATACCTTTGGTAAGGTCAAGTTCAATTTTGGAAACACTGTCGGTATTGGAAAACACTTTTTCAATCGTGTTTTTTTCATACAACTGCTTTTCACTAACATGTTGGAGATTAAATATAGCCTAAACAATTGTCTAAAACAAATTAAGAATATTTCATTGAATTTAAATTTGAAAAGCAGAAAAAACCAATACATAATCAAAGTTTGTTTATAGTTTTCTGATTTAAACTTCAAATTAAGCCCAGCTAACAAAAAAGGCGCGGAATCGAATAAGCAAAACAAGTAAAGAAATTTGTCTTGCATTTTTACGAGAAAGAGTTTTGCAATATGTGGTAGGCTGATAACTCAAACGGTAGAGACGCTTTGTACACTATACAATTAAACTTTCAATCCTCTGGACCAATGGAAGGTTTTCATGGTCGTTTGGCTGTGGTTTGCCTGTAATTACAGCTGAGCCGTGACTGAGTTACCAGTGATTCTCCACCAATTATCACAAGGAAGAGGTGTATAATGTATAGTTTTGCATTGTTATGAATTGGCTCAAATTAATTAGTCATGCTGCTGAATCAAATTTAAACAGTTACCTATAGGAAATAACCAGGCTTTATAAACGTTTTTGTTAGTCTTTGTGCTCTAATACTGTGAATTTGTACATTCTAAGTAAATAATTAATTTCTTTGGTGGTAAATATACTACAGTTGGGAAAATATTTTTATTACAAACTTAAGAAAAATAAGGAACAGATTCCTGTTAAAGTTTACATTTATTGTTGTTAGACCTAATCGGAAGAGGTTAAATGATATAGGAACTCAAATCAACTTTGATATATAGTTAAATTTCTTTACAAATTAACAAAAAAGGTAAAAAATTATAACCTAAAAAAACTATTTAAACAACATGGCAGTGGTAACTACAGTTTTTCTCCTTACTGAGGCTTTAACGACCGGTATCAGTTGGAATGAAAGCTTTCTATCGCTGTTTATCCAGAGCCTGAGCGGACACACGTCGGCTGTGGAGACGGTAAAGTTCAACCACACAGAAGAGCTGGTGGCGGCCGGCTCGGGCGGTGGAGTGCTCAAGATATGGGACCTGGAGCAGGCGCAGATAGTGCGTACACTCACTGGCCATCGGGGGGGACTGCGGGCGATAGACTTCCATCCTTATGGAGATTTTCTGACCTCTTCATCTCTGGACACAACTGTCAAGGTAATACGATCACTGCGCTGTGTGAGATGGGAAATACAAATCACTCGTCTTTCTATTCTACCATCATCACATGTAATGGAATGTTGTAGGCATCCCTTATTAGAGCAGATCATAGGAGTTTGGTGATGAATGATACTGATTGATGGTTATTCTAGGTAATAGCCTACTGTACTTAAATTTTCTTCAAGTGAAGTTTTTTACAAAGATGATGACTGTTTACAATAATACCAGCTCTTAAGTGTATCAAAGTGTATGAATTGAAAACACCCTGACTAAATGCAAATGAGAGAATATCATATTTTTAACTCTTTTGGTTTGAGTAATGCTTTAGACAGATAAAAGACCGAGTGACATACACTTTAAAAAATGTAACGTCGCCACTGTAATGATGTTTTAACTTGACAGGAGACAGGACTAGTGAAAATAAAAACTACATAATTAGTTAATTAATTAGTTACCTAATTATGCTTAATACTTCTTAAATCGTCTTGAAAACATTTCAATTAGTATTATTAAAATGTTGCTAAACCGACATACTACAATGTTGTAAAATACAAGGTGGATCTTTCAAGTCTATAAAGTATAAAATTACTTTTTTTTTTGTTTGACATGAGCTATACTTGTCACAATGAGGTCAACATCAAAACATCGTAATGACAAAGACTAACAAAAGGCGATGCGAGCCAGTAATGCTTAAAAGGAAATGCCACTGCTATCGCTCTGAGTCTTGCAGATGGCTCGTCTAGTTTGCTATCGGTTGGCATCGATGTATAATAACTCCCTGGATTGCGCGCTCAGGTTGAAGTAGGGCTCGAAAAACGGTCCGTCGCTACCTCGCTCTGTCCGCGAGGAGTGAGGATAAAAGGCATGAGTCACCCTAGTGACGAGCGTCGCGCCCGCTCTCGCCGTGTATTGCTATGTTAGTTTTGTGGAAATATTCCGAGGATAATTGATTGTAACGAACTAAAGGAGGTTTTATAGGCAGATATAATTAATCTACGTACTTGCTCACACTTTGTAGAGTATGTGTCAAAAGTAAAGCCCATAAGAAATGTAGTGGTGATATAAAAGAGTTAGATTTATTTATATTTGAACATTAACCAGAGCAAAGTATATCACAATAATTATTTCATCACATATGCATGTCATCATTTGCTTCGGTGAAGCCCAATTATTATTGAGAGACTGTGCATCATTTAAGAAAATATATTTTGTTTATATTATAGTATGTTTCTTTGTCATACTGTGATTAACGTGTTTGGAAAACATATTATGCTGCTAAATAAAATGAGTGTATAATATTTAATGCCAATATCTCAAATGTATTCATTATTCTCACTGAAGTAAAATAATAACAAAATATTTTCTTAGGTATTAAATACTGCTGTGAAATCCAACATATATTCTTTGATTCGAAGAATTTTGTTAACTATAGACTACCGGTAAGCATTAAAATGCATAAACATACGCCTGTAAATTTGGTTACCATTCTTCGTAATGTAATGACATATTTGATGTAATATAATGATAATTAAATGCTAGAAACTCGGTTTCTATATCCCGTAAACTGATGCTGAGCGGGCCGAGCTCCTAGCGCCAATGCCGCGCCAAGCGATTTTATGCCTATTTTTAATCGCTCAAAAATGATACAAGCAGGCTCCGTATCATAAAAAGCTTCAAATAAAAAATAAAATTCATACTTTGATCTAAAACTTTGCCTCAGGAATTTTTTTCCTGACCAAAAAATAAAAAAGTTCCTCGCTTACTACATTTTTCATGTTTTTAATGGTGTTCAAAAACAATCGTCTGTTTTAATTTGCCTAAATAAATTATAAAAAATATGTTAATGTAAAAACTAGCTACATAGTAATGAGCACTGGTTTTTCCAGAAAAATAATATATCAATTTGAAATTTTTATGTTAACAAATAAGTGTAGCAAAGCAGGTTGAGTGAATGTATGTTTGTGTAAAACAGAGAGGTTCATTCGGCCCGTCCGTCTCGGTATCCCGCCAATTCGATTGGCGGGCACGGACCGTTTTTCCACCACCTAGCGCGCTATCCAGTAGAGTTATTATACATCGATGTCGGTTGGTGGCCAACCTATTACTGTGTGATTTTTATTTCCTTGGTTATGGTGGATCATTAATACGTTAAAATAAATGTCCAGTACAATTAATGATTATTTCATGTGTCCCTTTTCACAAATCAGAAATTAATTAATATTTTTACTCTACTTTAAATAGAAAAATATGTTAATAACGTATCAGTAATTTATTGGTTTACGGGGAAAAAAATTAAAAATATATAGTAAGGCCTAAAATAAACTGAGGGCTCGGATCACAGTGGCTTGGGTAATTGAGAGTGAGAGTGTACTGTAGTAAGATCAAATTTCTGGAACATTTGAAACATTTCTCAGAAGTTCAGAGATTAATTAACAAAATAAAGCTATATAACTCAGTTTTTAGACTACACAATATAAAATTTAATTCCCTCACATCAATTTAATTTGGTTTGCACCTATTGTTTTGATATTGCAAACGTAGTGATAGGTGACTGTTTTCAATGTATATTCTAGGATTATCTAGAAAACAAGAACCACAATACATATTTTAAACAACCATAGTTTAAGCATTTTAAGAACCAAAGGAAAGTCTGTCACTCGATACTATCTTGTAGACTTGGTGACCAATTTAACTGCAGCTGTTACTTAAGTTTATCTGCATGATTTGTTTATGTTTTAATGCGTTGTCTATGTTGTACAGATGTGGGACACCAGACGTAAGGGTTGTATCTTCACCTACAAAGGTCACTCTCAGAGTGTCAACAGTGTCAAGTTCAGCCCGGACGGACTCTGGATAGCATCCGGAGGAGAGGAGGGGCTGGTCAAGGTATACAGCTGATGATAACTCAAATACTAAAACTTTGTACGAAAATTACATCAAACACTGTCCTTATTTTTTTTCTCTCATAACTAATGTATTTGCAAAGAAAGCGAGCTGTTCTAGTAAGCATAGGGCTTCTCTGAGGTCCCGGGTTCAAATCCCTTTAATCATCAATTAATTTAGGCAATTTGATGATGTCTCGACCCTCTAGGCATAGTAATGTAAAATGGCTCAGGGCTAGAGACTAATGTCTCAGCATGTAAAGAAATGACCTTGTTATCAGCGAAAGCTCTGATTTTAATAGTTCAATGTAGATTTATAATTATGTTTTCTGTGGTACACATTGCTTTTTAAAAATTTTAACGTCATAAATTCCTCCTTCTGAAAAAGAGCAATTGGTCTTCTCAAACCAGTGACACTATTGTCAAGATTAAAAAAAAAATCTGAGAAATACAGTACTGTACTTCCGTACAGAATTTGGTCTAGCAATTAACTAAAAAAATCATAAATAATGCTGTGGTGTAATTTTGAGAATAAACAGTTTGATGTTGCTTCAATATTATTGTTTAATTGTTATTGTTGTGAATACCTTGTTCAGTTTCATATTGATAGGATAAATTGTTCTCCTTGAGAACCATGCATTGTAACATTACTACCTCCCTATGGTCCTGTTGGTATGGATATATTTATTTATATTCTTAACCTACAATATGTATACAATTTTTACTCTACTCCACTTAGAACTAGAGGTAACGCCGTTTACTATTAATACAGCTAGACATTCCACCCCCATATTAAATTTGTAGCCAGATTTTTTATCAAAATCGTTGTAGTTGATGTGAGCCAGCGACAGATTGCACTGATCTAAATTACTAAATTCTGTTGAATACACAAACTTGTTTACCAAGTCAAACTTAGGGAATAACTTATGGTAAGCTAAAAGCAACTGTTATGATCCATCAACCTGGTCAGCAACAAAAAAAGGTATAAAATAGAATTTTAGACACTTGGGCTTTCTGTGACTGGCTCGACGACAGCTGGTCCATATTGATGGGATGTCTACTTCAGTATCCAATAGTCAATGGTAACACTTAGTTTACTTCTGTCACTGATTCGACACTTGCATTGCATTGCATTGCTACAACATTCTCACAGTATAGTACACCTAGCTTGTATTGCAGCTATGGGACATCAGGGTGGGCCGAGTTCTACACGAGTTCCCCAACCACTCAGGTCCTGTGACGGCCGTTGAATTTCACCCACACGAGTTCCTGCTCACCTCCGCCTCGTGTGACAAAACTGTCAACTTCTACGACCTGGAGAACTTCTCTGTGGTGTCCACTTGTGATAAGGACTCAATGTCAATCAGGTACATCCGTGTGTCGTCATGGGTCAAAGTTATGTCCCTTAGTGGAAAGAACCTCGTATTTAAATAAGACTTAATTTATACCAGAAGAAATATCTGAAATGACAAGTCTAAAGATTTCCCATCAAAATGATTGATTTAATAGAACATACTTTTTAAAGTAACAAGCAATTGGTTAGTACTAATAAATTAAATCAGTTTTAAATCAGTTGAGAAGCTTTAAATATACTGGTCCTTGTTTTGTTTCTCTCTTCCTAGCAAACAAAAATAACCAAACTCTTCAACATTTCTCAGCTGATAATAAATTAGGTGGCAACTAAATTATATTTAAGATTTTAAGTCTCTGGTCACATCACTACAATCCAATTGGTAATTTAAAGTTAATATGTTTAATAACAAAATAGACAGATGTTAGCCCAAAACTTGCAATCTCAATGATTTATTAATGACGGCATTGATAACGTTTTACCATTTTTATTGCTTATATGATTGAGGGTCTTAAAACGTTCGCTGCGGCCCATCAATGGCTGGCATATCCCTAATGCGGTACAGCGTCGAGCAAGCCCGATTGCCGGGCGGTTTTCTTTCAAATTTTGTCCCGACGAATTGCAAATAACGTGTAGTGATGTACTGCATTACGACAAGAGTAGACGTAGTTCGCTAAAACAGCCACAGATAGCAGCACTGCTTGGAACATAGCGGTCCCATTGTATTGCCAATTAGAGGAAGAAAGACGGGAGAACAAGTTGATTTCTAAGGTTGCCAGGCAGGGATTTTACGGGAAAATTTATTACCAACCTACACCACAACAAAAAGCATGTCACACACTACATGCTAACTTGGTATAGGTCCACCTTCGACCGAAGCTAGGCTCGCACTGAGCAACAGATTGATGCACTGCAGTGTGGGTTTTGGGTCAGTACTGACCCGGTGGCGAGAGGGTTGCAATCGCCGTGTTTCAGTACTGGCCCACCCGCAGCAAACGTGTTAAGATCATTTTCAGCCTTTTTCAGGAATTTCAGACTCTTACTCAAGCTGTACATATACAACTGTAGCAGTAGCATTACGGAAACTTTTCATGAATACCAGTACCCAACTTCAAGTTTTAGAAATATTTATCTAGGCTACCTATAAATAGTACTAATTATGATGTCACTAGGTGTATGCTCTCATAGTCTCTAAAACTTTTTTTGTGATTAGTTTACGTAACACGACAAAACATCATAGTAAATAAACAAGCTGTAAGCTTTGGTAATGTTGAGTTATCAAAAAACTAGGTGCATTTTTTTATGAACAATTTGTACTGCAAATGGAGGTACGATAGGTAAGTGTTGGATCAAGAGAAGGTAAGATAATGTTTGTCTTAAAATATTTCTAAGGACTAAAAAAGAAATTGTTACATCTGTTTTGTCTGTGGCAGATGTGTCAGTTTCAACGCCACCGGTGACTGTCTGTTTGGAGGAGGGTTGGATGTACTGAAGGTGATGGCCTGGGAGCCTGGTCGTACACTGGAGCTAGTCCCCATCAGCTGGGGCCGCGTTCAGGATATCACAACAGGCTACAGCGACAATAGGCTGGTACGTGCTTCATACAGTAGACTTTGTCTTAACCAACTCAGTACTGATTGTTCAGATTAACCTCCTCAGCCATGATAAAATTAGTGATTGGTTAATTCACTCTACATTCTTAAACTATGCACTTATGTTACTTTACAATGTAGTTTTGCAAATTGAATACCCTAACTTAATTGTTTAAAAAATATAATGGTTTTTACTCTACCATTGCCAATGAGTGTGATTATTGTGCGGAAACGTATAGTTCAGGATTTTCTCCTAAAGTATTTTTTTTTAGTTATTCAAATTCCACATTTGGAAATTGATGTAAAGTGAAATTTTGTGTTTCTGGGTTTGGACACTTCACTTACCTTTGTTAAATAATCACAAGATAAATGGCAGTAGTAGTAATGAAATCATGACTGATAAAGCAATGAAAATTAAAATATAAAATAATAGTACCGTAGTTAATTTACCTTTACTTTCGTCCCAGTTCAATAGTATTTGTAGTGTCTACGACCATGATTTCGACGCTAGTTGCGTCATGATCACGTAGTTAGCAAGTTGAGAAATATCTTGTCATTGTCAGCCGCTTGGATGTCGTCATATGACACAGAATGTTTTTAATTGTTTTTTCTCTGATATTGCTTCAAGATCTTTATTTAAATTTGTCTTTTTTCTAACTTGTCTGAATTGGTAACTTTCTCTTAATTGTGCTGTTCTTGTTGTATTTTGTTGTAACTTATTACTTTTAGTTTTTATAACTTATTGATTGACCATGCATCTGTTCACCATTGCCTTTGTAATGAAGAATGTTTTATGCAATAAAATACTTATGACTTTTATGACTTATGAGCGACAACAATGAGAATATTCAAAGCCTGAGAAAGAATTTTAAAATAAATGATAAACTTCTAAGAAATATTATGACACACTTGTTAAAAGTACTTTTTTTCAACATTCTGTGGAGATGCAAGTGTGTTAATCGGTATGCTGTGTCAGGTGGGAGCTTCATTCATGCTGAGCAATGTCTCCCTGTGGATGGTAGATTTGTCGAGGGTGGCGCCCCTGGGAGAGACTCCCACTCCTGCCCCTCCATCCCCCTTCAGTCATGGACAGAGTGTACGCAAGAGCTTCACCAAGAAACCATCTCCAGAGAAAAGCCCGTAAGTATCAGATTTTGATTATAGTTTCTTTTTCACCCGTGCCGGAAGCTAAATTCATTGAAAAGCTGTCAGCATTGAATACAACACAAAATCAGTAACATTGTTGTTGTTTTTTTACTAGCTGTATAAAGGTAAGGCCTAATGTGTCAGTCTGTATTAAATTAAGAAGTTATGCAAGGAGTGAACTAAAGTAGCCTACTACTCGCTGCTATTTGCATCCATTACTAAATTTCTTTTTTAGATATTTTAGAATTTTTTGGATTTTTCCATAAATATTGAGCTGATTTGGATGTTTGATGTGCCAACATTATTGTTCCATAATATGTATAATTTTTGAAAATATAAATGTTCTGAATTTCTTATGTTAATATCTTGATAATTCACTCTCAAAGATTTGACTAGTGATCATTTTTTTCCTCCAGCTGTGTGTCTAGAAAGAGTAAAGTCATTGTCAAACACTCAATACAATATAAAATCAGTTAATTGTCTTGTTTACTGCCATAATAAATATAAACTATTATTAATCTTCTTATAACTACACGGAAAATGATAACACAACTTAGTCTTTTTGTTGAACTGAAATGAGTCATATAGAATCTACGTCATAAACAAATTGAATTATTGAAACTGGGAATTCTTCCTAACAGAACAAAAACTGTATACAATAAATTCTGTTGGCAAATTCAGTGTAACATGTTAGTCCAATGCTGGGTTATCATTGAATGTGCCACATTTTCCATGATTTTCCGTAATCATATTAAGGTCTAAACTTCTTATTGTGGGATTTCATAAATTTTTTTATATTTTTAGGATAAAAGTCAAGACAATCGAGGAGGTTGACAAACTGGAGACGGATCCTGAAGATGAGAACCACGCCGAGATTCCAGACATCCGCGACTACAGATCTGTGTTTCAACCGAGAAGTACTCGTGAGTATTTACAGCAATAAACAGCTGTTGTGTACAAGAACAGCTGATATATTCGCTTCAAATAAAGAGTTAACACTTAGAAGAAGATAATGCTAGTCGTGAGGTGGGTTGTATGTATTAGTTCTTTTTAGTGAAAAACACAAACTAAGCGGAATAACTTAAATTAGAGATCATATGAAAACCTACCAAACCAACAACAAATCTGTTGTAATAAAAAAAAAATTGAACACCTAATAACATTTTTTACTCTAAGAGTTTAGGACACTTGTTGCAAGTTTTGTAGGTTTTCTGGCCTTTGGAGTTATTGAAATCAGGTAGCAGACTTCTATATTCCGTAATATTAATGTTGGTATGAAATAAGCCTCGGCATATTTTGTCACTATTATCAATGAAATTAGGTTCAGTCGCTTTAGGGCTTTTTTAAAATATGAAAACGTCTTACTTTTTCTGGTAATTGTAATAGAATGGCTTTCTAAGTGGTGGAATTTTGTAGTTGACCACTTGAGTTATGTGATTGTGTTAGCTGTAATTGTTTTAACTACTGGTGTTATAGCTCACCTCACCAAAGCTAACAATTAGTTCATCACTAACAATAAAACACAATATGATTACTTTGCCATCATGCTGCGTCTTAGTTTTAAACAAAAACAATTGTGTAAACTTAAGTGGTTTAAAACAACATCACAAGTGTCAAATTGGAAGGAAATACAAAACCATTGTTGGAAGAAAACCTTGAGGTCGGTCTAGTAACATAAACAAACAATGCTCAAGTAATTGTGTACAAAGTGCTCAAACTTACAATAGACTCTTTGTCTCGTCCAGTTTACTTACATATCACCTCTGCCGTGTTTTTCCCTTCAAACAGATTTATTAGCTTTCAGTGTTGTGTTAACGTAACTTTCCTGTTATAAGTAAATTTGTCTGTGTGTTGTATGGTTACGTAACCCCTTGAATAACATCAACATGCTTGGTAGGTGTAGAAATAGGATGTTTACAAAATGTTTTTGTGTGTTTGTGTGGAGTTTTATTGATTTACTGTATTTCAATTTATTTTCCTACCACCGTTTTTTTAAACTAGCCTTTTCAATTCAGTTCTTATAATGGAAAAGATTCACTTTACTGCATTGTTTTTTTTTTTTTTTTTTTTTTTTTTTTTTTTTACTTTACAGCACTAGCAACGGACCAATGAGGTTTAAGGATTGGAAGTAAATAAGTAAAATTGTAATGCTTCGAACATCAACTTATCACCTCTTAAGATCAAAATTGATTATACAATAGGGTGCAATGAGTGGTTGGTACAATGAGTCGTTGCATCACTATCAATAGCAATTATAAACAATAACATAACCGCTCTTAGAAGTTATGAGTAGTGATTGTTAGTAATTAAAAAAACGGTTGTAGGTAAAGTAGTGTATGCAACTTGGGTAAAATAGTCTTTACGACATTCGTAGAAAGATCGTGCCTTAAATTTCCACTTGTGTTGTAAAGACTATCTTTACAAGATCGTTGTGTACACTACTATTATGTTTACTTTTTACTTCACTGAATACTTATTGAAAAACACTGATTTATTTATGTTTTATAGTACTTTTAACTTCTAACCTTGACTTTAATATAGCGTTTATGTGGCACCTGTTCTGACAATTCTTTTCTTGGAACTATCAAACAGAAGTAAAAAATATTAACATGTTCAACAATTTAAAAGTGTAGATCTTACAAACGTAAGATGTAATTAACTGTGTTTAGGAACCGATAAAGCCTATAGTTTTGCCTAATACTGTATGTTTATAACCATTTATCAACAATAATTAATTGGTGGAAGTAGTTGATAGCAATGGCTTTTGGGTATTGAACTAGACATCCCATCTTTATGGACCAGCTCTAGCCAAATTTATAGTAAAATAAAACACATCATTATCCACATTATTTTGATCAGTGTTCTATATTGTTAACATAAAATATTATTTTTTGTAACTTACAGTCAAAAATAGCAATGCTGTTTGAAATCAAATAAATTACGTTATTGAATGATCCATTTATAGGATGGTGTTACAGACATTCTTTTTTCACCCTTTTCCTTGGAATGTGATTAACTTATGCCAAATTTATATCTAATTTGCTTTTTTCTGGTATTTAGAAGAGTATCGTATTTAGACACGTGATCACTGGTCTAAAATCTTACACACAAGAACAGTTGTTTCACTACCGCCCACTTCCTGCCGATCTAGTCTGGTTAAACCGATGTGCTGATAAAAATTGCCCGGTTAAAGAGATATCATTTCCGCTGAGTTTATTCCAGTAAAAAAATGTTCGGATAAGAAGGAGTCTACTGTATAACTATAACATGGGAATGAAATGTCTAGCTCTACCCATAGTCAGTAAATGGTGTTAACAATTCATGTTGCTCACTGTCACTGTGCTTGCTTTATGTGTTGTGGATGTTTGTTCACAGTAAACCGTAGTCCACCTCCTAGTATTGCTCCACCTCCTGTGAGTGATGAAGGTAAGGATTACATAGTTCCATTAGTAATTAGAATAATGTGCAGGATAAAACTGTAGGATAAAAATTCTAGGTGTATTAGACTAGCTATATGTGGCATGCTTCATTAACAATAGTCAGTTTGGGTCTAATCAAAGTTTTAGATGGTTTTGATTTTTTTTATAATTGATACACAGTTTTAAGGATTGAATTATCTCCTCTTCTCAACACTTGGTTTGCCCATCTTAGTCTATAATTCTTTTTTAGCTCTCTGGTCTTTTGTATAATCCAGCCTTTATTTTCTTGTAGGCTACTGGTCCATGTATTTTTCACAGCACTCTATTATCAAACACAATGAGCGTTAAAAAAAATGTTACCACTGTAGTTATTGAAAAGCCTACAAGACGAAAATTACTTTTAGCTTGCTAGGTGGACTGGTTTAACAGTTATATGTATTTTCCATCAACTACCTTATCATTCCATTCATATATTTTGTCAATTGATAAAAAATTCCTATGTTTCAGATCTGTCCCTGCCTCACATGTCACCTAGTGCTCCGCCGCCGTCTCTGATGGAACCAGCTGTGTCCCCGCCTAAGGCTCGCTCTCCCCCTCCCCCGCCACAGTCCCCCCGAAGGAGAGCACCATCACCTTCTCTCACACCACCCTCCCTCCGACCTCGGGAACCACTTCGCAGACTTAGCTCCTGTAAAGACCCAGAGATTGGGAGTCCACCTGACAATGATTACCCAGTCAGGTAATATGTTTATTAATTGGCTGTGAATCATCCAAGACCTTTGAGTAAATAATTAGGAGGATAATTAAGTAGTAGGTCGTTAAGGGAATACACTGATTGCCTATTGGAGATTTGCTGATTCAATTCGGAGGAGTCTGTAATTTTTGCATGGTTTCGAACTGGACCAAGATGTAATAATTGATAATTGGAGTTTGGTCGTGACAATGAACCAACCTCAGTCAGTAAAGACTCAGTAATGGTCAGCAAAGCTATAATCTCACACATTCAACCATTATCCTCCAAAATTCATTGCATTTGTAAAAGAACTTTTTTTTTCCAAGGACGCTAGCACAAGCCTTGGATTGTTTTTCACATTACTTTAGGCTAGACCTAGGGGTTGCAGCATTATCACTTAGATAAAATCCATTGGTGATTTGGCGAGATTTGAACGCGGGACCTCAGGCACCGAAGTTCCGTGCTCTAACCACTAGACCAGCTCACTCCCCTGTCAAAGAACATTACATTGTAGTAATTTTGAATCAGATTTATGCTCTAGGAATATTTCCACATAAGAATATCAGCAACTAGTCCGTCAGTGAAAATATCTGCTTGCTGTCTGCAACATCTTCAACCACATTATGTGAATACGTCACCTGTTCTTAAACGCCAACAAATATTGCAGATATATCTATCAATCCATTTAGAAAGGTTAAAAATGTTGAAATATGTTTTGTGTGTGTCAGTGTTGTACAAGTTTAATCTAATGTATGAGTTATTGTTACTGTTAATACAGCTAACCCTGGATCTATTAAGAGAGGGTAAAGTTGTTGGTTTGTCTGCAGGTTGAACACCGGTCTACAGCACAGCCCGAGTGATCCGTCCATCGCCTCTGTCAGAACTCCTGGTCACTCCAGAACCAACTCCATGAGCTCCACGAGACATCACTCCCAGCGTAACATCTCCTCCTCCTCCTCCAACTCCAACAAGACTGACATCATCAGTGAGTGACTATCGTTTGTATATGCTAAGAAAATAAATAGAAAATAATTGTCAAACATTGCAAATGTAGATAAATACACAGGAATCAGTTAATTTGACGTTACGGTCATGTGTGGACAGAAGGAATGCAGTATTGAAAAATTCTGTAAAGTTTATAAATTTGTTTATGAAGTCTGCAAACATAAATAGTTTAGCAGGAAAGCCCCATACCCAACCTTGAGACTTCTCCCAATACACGACAGGTAAGCTAACTGAAGAGTGAAGAGGGATCGGTCCTGAGAAGTTAGTTTATATGTAAGTTTGGGTTTTTCTCTCGTTTGGTCATAGTTTTACAAGGCCCTCTATTTACCTATCTTATATGTTTACAGACAGCCAGAACAGAGTTAACAACAACAACAATGTGATAGCCAACACTCCCCGGCCAGTAAAGGTTGAAGAGGACAAAGACTTGGACTTCATACCCATGTCTCTGGACAAGCCCAGTGGACTGAACATGGAAGAGTTCCTACCGGTAAGACCTTGGTTTTGTCTTCCAACAAAAAAACGAACTTGTAACTGAAATTTTGTTTTCGAACGATAAATAGTTGTATATAGAAATAATTAATAATAAATAAAAAAAAGATATAGATGAAGTTTCAGGGGGCTTTTTCGGTGGTATAACATTTTGAAAATTCTATCTAGTTTTGTCTTTTGGAAAAGGCACAAGCTTTGTCACTGAATTCTGCAACTATCAGAATATTAAACAAATTTTAGAATCTAGTACTGCCTAGCCAGATAAAGTCCTAAAATATAATTGGTGTGAAACAAAAATATTAGTGACTTGTACACTGATGAGAAAATAATTTTGTTTTGTAGGAAAGGAAGTTAAAAAAGTGTCGTTAAATTAAAAGATGTCAGCACAAAGTATTTGATTTTAAATCAGAATAACATTGACTATAATTTGTCAAATTTAAAACTCTTTCATATAAGTTTTGATTCGCTCTATGTACTTTTTATAAAACCTTATATGCCTATATTAGACATGGCAAATGTTTTCTCACACCACTGTACTACATTTTGCAAATGACCTATCTCAAGGAGATTACTAAACTATTATCTATACCTCTGCTTCCGCCTGTCCACCCTCAAAAACTATTGATCTGGCAGTCATGGTTAGGCATTTAAACTGTGTGAGGGACAGAAAAATATGCTTTTTTTGAAGCTGAGGAAGCGGGCCCCAGGCTGAGGAAGCAAAAAATATTTACCAAAACAATTCATAATTTTGTACTTGTAAAGTTGTATGACAAGATATTCTGTTGTTGAGCAGCAGCGGCTCCAGCAGACATTTCCGGAGATGTCCGAGGCTGAAGTGTTGTCGTCCATCATGCGAGGTCACGACTACATTGTCAGCATCTTGCGCACCAGGGAGCGACAACTACAGATAGTCTACTCCATGTGGCATAACAAGGATCTTAAGGTCAGCATTTCATCACTGATGTTAGGATAAACCTCTCGTTATTGGTTGTGTTTGACATATCGCTTCAGAAAATCAAAATTGGATCTCGGATAAAAACTTGTATGGGATGTTCCATTATCAGATGCCATTAGTTGCACATTTTAAATTTGATTAGATTTTGTGGCAAGTGGCAACAAAAATAGATTCAATGAATTGCAAGAAGCTCAAAAACTACAATCAAAATATGTCAGGGGTTTTTATAAAAATCTTTTGTCTCGTCATATCAAGCTATGTGTGCTGCAAGTTAGACACCAGAGACTTACAAGTACACTAGAACTCCATCAATTGGGACCGGATCCGGAAAATTCGGGTAAAGGGTAGGCCTATTTAACAAAGATTCTGGGTGTATTTAAACAAATAGGCTGAGTTCTGCCGAGCTTTTACTATTGTAACAGCAGATACAAATTGTCTGAGATGATTTTGCAATCGGTAAATTTACGCTTTTACCACAATGTCGGAGTATGATTATGATTCCCATGACACTATGGTCACTATGGTAGTCTATGGTGATGTCCACAAGACCTCTTAAAATGTTAGATTTTGCCACGATCGCGAATAACGATGATGTTTCCATGACTGCAGGGGATGATGAGGATATCTCCACGATCGTGGGATATATTGAACATTTTACCAAGACCACAAAACACAGTGATGATATTTCTGTGACTGCAGGAGATGATGATGATGTCAAAATAATCGCAAGAGAGGTTTTGGTCTTTGGATGTTGCTGCAATCATGGCATCTTTTTTAAAAACGATCCTATTACTGTGGCTTTACGTTTTTTAAATTATTTCTGTAAGTGATTCCGATATTTAGAGTTCTACTGTAGTAACAGATAAAAACTCTTGCATGTTTGCACTTCGCACAGTACTGAGAAATTTACTTCAACATAATACATATCATCAATGCAGTTAGTAGTTTCAACACACATTTAATCATTGTTAGTAGAGCTGTTGTTCTTATGTTAAGTTTGTTTGTTGCAGACGGCTGTTGACCATGCTCTCACACTAAGAGATCTCTCAGTTATCGTGGATCTGCTAGGAGTCATTACACTCAGGCCGTAAGTACTCTTGTATTTTTTTAAAGGGGTTAGTCTCTTTTCACCTTGTATTCGTCCATCCACATAGGCCTGTGTTGAACCATAGATAAAACATACTCCCTTAGTAGATTTCTCATCCTTATGGAACAGCTGAAGACAATTTTATTGTTAGTTCATGTACGGTTTATGTAGAGGTCGTGTTTTGTTTACAATTTGTTTCCCGTTATTACAGCCATTTAAAACCTCGTTTAACCAAATAATACGATCTAATCATAAAGAATAACTTGTCCCCTAGTTATATAACCAAACAGTAAAGCACAAATCAAGAAATTAACCCTAAAATAATGGAAACAAAGTTTCATCGACACTAGCGCCTTTGTGTCACGTACATGAACTAGACACGAAAAACGTGCTTCAAAATTTACAATGGGATGAGAAGTCTACTTGTGTTGGTTAGTCTATGGTTGAACCATTAGACTTCTCATCTCATTGTAAATTTTGAAGCTATTAATTTTTTTTGGTTTTTAAGTCTAATTTATGTTGGTGATAATGATCGCTAGTGTTGACGATATTTTGTTTATATTATTTTAGGGCCAATTTCATAACTGTGCTTTACTGTTTGGCTGTATAACTAAGCAGCGAGTTGTGCTTTCTGATTAGATTGTTTTATTTGGTTGAAGGAGGTTTTAAATGACTGAAAAAAACAAGAAACAAATTGTAAACTGTAGTAGAAGTCATTATAGTTTCATATATGAACAGTCATAATTATTAGTAACGGAAGAGTTATTATGTTTTGCGGGGTGGCTGCACTGTGCACTGAGCCCTGAAGTGGGATGATTCGTCACGGCTCGGCCTTCTATGTCCAACAGCGATCGTAAGTGGTTCTTTTATAATTACTGTCCACTTTTCTAACGTAACGGTTAGGTTACGACATTTTGGCGCAGTCGGTAATAAACCTTTTTATCATAGTTAGGGTAGTACGCGATAACAGTTGTTGTTTTAGTGCGTATTATAGTTGAGATGATTAAAAATGGCGAGTATTAGTGTTGGCAGGATTTCTGAATTTAATCCAAGTGAGGAGGACATTGTGCCCTATTTGTTGCGCCTGAAACATTTTTTCAAAGCGAACAATGTTAAGAAGGAGAACGAGGTGTCGGTTTTAATTACAGTTATTGGTCCCAGGGTTTTATCGGTCCTATCCGATTTATTATCACCGGTAGAGGTAGATTCTAAGACCTATGATGAACTTGCAGCGTTGTTGAAATTACATTATGCGCCCAAGAAGTTGGTTGTGGCGGAGCGATATGTATTCTACTCTCGTGTGCAAAAGCCGGGCGAAAGCATAGCGGAGTTTGTGGTTTCAATAAAACATTTGGCTAGTTCGTGCAAATTTGGTACCTTTTTGAAAGACGCTTTGAGGGACAAAGTGATTTCCGGCATTTCTAATGAAACTATCCGGCAGAAATTGTTGTCGGAGGAATTGGACTTTGACGAAGCTTATGCGTCAGGGCTCAGGCTGGAACAGGCCGAATCGCAGTCAAGCCTATTTGTGCAACCTCGTGGGGACATTGCGAAAATCAATGTGAAAAGTCAAAATAGGCCTAAAACTTTCGTGAATAGGAGTAGTGAAAATCAAAATTCTAGAAACTCTTGTTGGAGGTGTGGTTCTGCTGGTCATTGGCCTAGTGCGTGTGCGTTTGCCAGTTACAAGTGTCACGGATGTCAGAGAGTAGGTCATCTCAAGAAAGTGTGTAAAGCCAAGAAATCTTCTAGTTTCCATGGTAAAAAGTCGACACCTAGGATGGGGGTCCATCAAGTGGAGGAAGAGGTAGGCCTAGGCCTAGAAGTTCCAATGGCAGAGATAGGTCTGTACAACCTTAAATCAGGATCAGACAACGGCTATAAGGTAGGCCTAGTGGCTAATGATGTATATTTAGAAATGATTCTAGATACAGGCAGTGCCTTGACTATATGTCCTTCTGAGATATTTTATGAAAAATTTTCTAACCTCAAACTTAGGCCAGCAAATGTGAAACTTACTACTTATTCAGGTCATGATGTACCTGTTCTGGGACAAGTGAATGTCAATGTTAAGTTGTGAGGTGTTTATGTCGGGTAGGGCACCTATCGTAAACTTACCTCCGATTTGCTCGGACAGCTCGAGTAGTCCAGGGTCTCGCTGACAATCCTCGTCGCTCGCTTCCCACTTCTGGATCTTCGTAGATGTTAATGTCGCGCCGATCTGCTCGTACACAAGTACACACTGTGTACCTCGGCACGTCGACGCACCGTACACGAGTTGCTATTTAGGAATACACTAACTATAGTTACTCCTATAACTTGGTGTCAGCACAGCGACGCGCTGACAAGGCCAAGTCTAAGTTAACTACTAGGGCTGATAGATAAATAGGCGACGATTAGGAAATAAAATAAATAACCAGCTCCTAGGCTTAACGAAAGATCTCACTTCTCGAAATAAAACTAAAAATAATCTTCTCGGAATTAAAAGAAAACGATGCTAACTCGCGATAAGTAAATAATGAAATAAAACAAAACGTAGAAGGCACCTAGGCCAATTCTTCTTGGCTTTAAGGAAAATAAATAAAAACTCCTGATTACAATAAAACAAAACCACTTTGGATGACTAAAAGTCGGCGTATGTGACTGCGACACTACACTCGCAGCGTCGGTCGATAAACTACGTTATTCTATAATAAACTACGATAAACGTCCTAGAATAGCCTAATAAATAACGCAATTTCCCTCGCCAAAGTGGATACGGGGATGAATACAACGTATACGCTAGCTATATACAGTGTACTTACGTAACACGACACTTCCAGATTTGCATCCGGGTTACTCTCGCCTTCGTCCGGATACCTTATTATTTGGTTCGCTCGCACGGCCTAAGGAGGGTTGGTTGGTGTGCGCGAACCTAACGCTCGACGCCGACTATATCAAGAACTATCCACTGTCCGCTGGTCTCGGCTTCTCCCCACCACGTCTACGGCAGCGCTTCAAGGTGACAGCGGCCGAGTCTCGAACTAGGAGACATGACCAGCTGCAGTGGACATGTGTGACATTGTTGTCAAGCGCGCTCAAGCCTTCGCGGCCTTTAAATAATTAAAACGAACCCCCCAATAAAATGTGACCATTACACCCCCTTTTCACTTTGGCGACAAAAAAACAAACAAAAAAAAGGTACCTGCCTACAGGTATCTTCGCTCGTACAAACGCTTCTTCTAGTGGGCGAGGCGACAAACCATCCCCGCACCCAACGCTCGGCCCTTCTTCTCTGGCGGGGAGAACGCTCTCCTCTCACGCCTACGTAAAAGAGAAGTGTTGGCCTGTTCGTCAAAGTTAGATTTCAATCTACGATTTGGCTGAGTTGTATCGCACGACCTCAGGAAACTGTTCCTACGCTTGACATGGATATCACTCGGCGACGTTCGATTATCCTTTCTACTTGCAACGAACATTTGGCGCTCGTTTTTAAGAACACCCATCCTCCTTCTCTGATCGCGACTATCACCGTCCGTATCCTTCCGACCGTTCAACCGAAATAGCTTGCCGCTACGAATAATGTATTTATCGAAACTCCCGGGATTAACATTCACCTTGGTCCAAAGTTTATCGTACCCTCTGTCTGTGCCACCAGGTCGTTTATTCAACCTTTCTGGATCACTCCCTGGTGTTTTAGCGTCCGAGTTAACGCATACTTGAAGGGGACACACCGCTGTCTCGATGGAGGTATACTCGGCGACACCTTCTGCCGGTCGCGATAACGCACCAGCCACATTGTTGGCGGTACCTGTCTGGTACTGAGCCTCAACACCGTGCCGTTCGTTCACTCCATCAGCTGCGTCCGGTCTCGTATTCTCTACCTCCACGTGGTATGTCACCAAGTTCAGTCGCTCTAAGCTATCGATCCCGAGAACTATGTCACTGGTAAGCGAGGGAAGATACAGAGCATGGAACTCTTCCATTCGTCCTTTCAATAGACCTTTGAAGTGATAGGACTTGTGCGACTTCGAATAACTACCGTTGGCGAGTCTCACTACCATAGGAGTCAAAACAGACATAATTCCAGACTGTTCCAAGTGACGTGCCACCGCCGTGCCGATCAACGTGACTACGGCACCTGTATCTATTAGCGCGGCGAACTCTCGCCCTGCTATCGTCACCGATACGTGCGGTCGTCTGTCGTTAGTCTGAATCTGAGCGTTCTCGGTTTCCGGGAATTTCTTAATTTTCTCTAACCAAGCGCACCAGTCCGGGGAGGTTTTCGTAGAAGGCACTACTGAGGATTCAGTAGACCTCATTTGGTAATTTTCTCGACACCGACAATCATGGGTTCGGATACCCACCTTTTTACAATAGAAACATTTTAGAGTTCTTGGCATACGGCAGTCACGAAACATGTGGCCTTTCTTGTCACAGTTCCAACATGTGAGATATGATTTTTCTCTCATGTTATTCGGCCATCGCGGAACTGCATTGTTTTCTCGGGGTGAACCTCCGCGCTCACGCTCCGAGTTACGTCGTGGTTTTGTAGATGACGAAGTCCTCGTAAAATCACCCGTCCGGGGGTTCGGAGATTTCTCTCGTGACCTACGTGGTCTTGCCTCTGACCGGAAGCCTACGCGCTTCTCGGTTAATCGTCCCGTCACGCCGTTCGATGACTGACACTCGCCAATCGTCGAAACTCCGAAATGATCTCCTGATTTATTATCGCGTCCTCGTCTCGGGTGATAAGCCGTTTCGGGGACCAACGCTGCTGACGGAGGGGGAGGGGGACGGAAAAGAGATTTTTCCCTAAAATAGCTCTCAACGTGTTCCGCTTGTCTGAGCATTTCGTCGACCGAGAAAAAATCGTGTCTCCTCATCGTCAACTTATATTCGGGTCTCATATTCGTATACAAAATATTCAATTGTTCGTGGAGACTGAGGGTTCCCTTGCGTCGCATGAGAGTAGTTAAAGCCACAACAAAGTTTCTAAAAGCTTCGTTGTCACCTTGAGT